GAAATGGCTAAATGGGTGCAAATAAAACCACATTTTGTAGACCTATTTCTTATAAGTTGCAACCAAACTCACATCTTCTTCTTCAAGTTTTTGTTCTTCAAGCTCTATAAGTCTCGCAAATACACCGACCAAAGGGGCTGTATTGTACGTACAAGCCTCAGTTTGCACGTAGTTACCCCTCCGGTCAACAAACTCATCTTGATGATCCGGTCCTCCGACCAAAGCCCCGACTAAAACACTCGGATTCGGCTCGGACCGTCCGTACCAATAATCATACCCTTGAGTGCATCCAATGAACCCTTTGTATTCTTTAAAAGAAGCAATCGATGCGCCTCTATGATGAACCCTAATCGGGTACTTTGGACCATATCCCACTAGATAACTTGTTTTCATTGGATTCGATCCTAAAATGTAATCGATTTGGGATTTCGCGAATATGAGCATCTCATCTGGTGTTACGGTTCCTTCGTGACACTCGAGATCGGAGTTTGATTTTCTGAGATGGTCGGAATATACGGTTAGGAGGAAAGATGCGGTGGATACATATTGCATATTGTTCCATTGCCGGACGTAGAGTAAACCGGCCGGTGTTCTCCGGACGTTTGTGCCGTTGATATTCTTGTTGAGGATTGAGCATAAGTAATGATCCGCCTTTGATTTGTATTGTTGTAGAACTTTAGAATGTTGCTTGTGCTTTTCTTCTTTTAGCAACTAAGAAATGAGGCAACACACCATAAAGAAAAGTCAAATTAATTTTCCGGTGAGAGTGTATAATACAAATAGTCTAATAATAATTGCAATTCTGATAAAAGAGAATAATATGTTCCCTAATTTTGTGGTTAAGTAAAATTGAGAGAATTGGGAAACTAGCCAACATTTTATACTCCAAAGCATAAACCTTAAATTGTACTTTGTAAGTTTATAACCCATAAAATCTTGATCTTTAACATGAAACAAAATAGTTTATTTAAAATAAAAATTCCAATCATCCCTCGGTATGTAGCTAAATCACTCTTGTAGTGTTAAAACTCGAATAAAACTCGTTCACTATTTATGCATAAAAAAACTGCTTTAACGAGTAGGTAGAATCACGTGCCGTATAACAGAACCATTTAAAGAGACGTACCCGCTTAGTGGAACATAAGCACGTGAGTTTTAGTTCTGTTTCTGCTGAATAACTAACTTTTATAAATATTTTTAAAAAGTTTTTCTATTTTCTTGCATTTGCATACAAAGAGAAAATATTCGAGATAGTTGTTGTATTATATGTGAAGTTGGAGATACCTTACTTTGGGTTATAGCCTTAATTAAACGTGAGAATGTTCTTAAGGTAATAATTAGGATTCCATTTAAATTTTTAATTGGACTAATAAGAGTTTAGTCCT